GATCTTCTTCACCTTTTTGTAGCATTTGACGTTACTGACAACTGTTCTCCTGGATACTCTTTTCTCTCTAGGTTTTTCTCCTACCTATATGACTGGTACTTTTAAGTCTCTTTTTCTGGATTTTCACATTATGCCCACTAACTGCAGGTGTCTCCCAAGGACTTGTAGTAAATCCTTTTTCTCTTTTCACTCCATACTCCCTCTCCTGTGATCTCAACTTCCATGAGTTCAATTATTTTATCTATGTAGATGATTCCTGCCTCTAGGCAGAGCTACAATCACATTATCTCCAACTGCCTCTTGGACATCTCAAATATAACATATCCAAAACAAAATTCAATCCCTTTTTCACCACCTTAGTTTAGGCCCTCATCAGCTCTTGCCTGTACAGATGCAATAACCTTCTAATTATTCTCTCAGCAAGAAATCTCTCCCCACTCCTGTCCCATTCTCCACTTTCCTAAAGCATAGGTCTGGACCATTTCGAACCCAAACCCCCACCCCCAACTCCAGTGGTTCCCTGTTACCTCTAGGATCAAATATAAAGTCCTTTGCTCTAATCTCCTTATATTTTATTCCTCTTCATGCACTCTATGATCTAACCATACTGGTCTATTTGCTGTTCCTCTGTGTCTTTGGACTGGTTGTTGTCATTGCTTGGAACTTAATAAATATATGTTGACTAATTTAATCTCTATTACTGCTGTTGCACTAAACAGACATCAGACAGAGATATTTACAGCACGTCCCAAAAGTCTTAGTGCAGCCTTAAGTTCTAAACACTATCTGAAGCTTTAATAGCTCAATTAAGAGCTTAATCTAATAAACGATTACAGCTTAACACTGTACTAAGACTTCTGGGACATCCTGTATAAATTTAGGCTAACACCAAGTATAGAATGAATTTTCACTCTGCCCTGCCTAGACAAGACCCTCTTCAGGAAGCAATTAAGTTAAAAGGTTCCCCTTGCCCTGTCATCTATCATATCTCCTTTGTGATCAAGAGAGTAATTTCTTAAACTCGTTTTTTTATTTTCATTTTTTGCATGTGATTAAAGAGATAACATTTTCTAAATGAAAAGAACTATGAATTGGTGACTCAGCAATCTGAGTCCTACATTCAAGTGTATCACTGATCATGTCTCTCTATATTATGCTTGACCTCATGCTGGTCTCAGTTTCCTTGAGACAATACTTCCCTTTAAAGAGATTTGTAAAGATCTGAAAATCTCAAAGCTCAAAATCCTTTGTCAATATTTTTCTTACATTCATTCCTACAATGGATCTAGTTTCAGCATTAAAGTTATTGGTCTACTTTAGGATCAGTAAGGGAGTTATCAAATTAGTTCTTTTCCCAAAATCAATGATTCAATATTGTCCCCCCATAAGAAATAAAGTGGCACGCAGCAGAAAAGTACTACCTCTCTAATGCAATTAATGTTTCTGACAAGTTGTATGTAAACTAATTTTTTTCTGGTAAATCAAGTAATATCAAGTGGTTGGAACTCAACTTTTAAAGAAACAGTCTGCAAAATCTTTTATAAAGCAAACTGAAGCCCAAAACAGTTTGCACAAAGGCATAAAAGTCTCCTTCCTAGGACAGTGTCCAGTAAAGTCAGTTGTTTGATTGATTCCCCAGAGGCTAAGTGACTTGCATACATCCACATAGCTAAGCAGCTGAACAAGGTTTACAGTCTACTACTTCATGCTGCCACTTTTAGGTAACTTATTTTTTACATCTTGTTTTCCACACCCATGTTAGAAAGCCAGGCCAATGTCTTTCTGTAACAAGACAACAAAAAGTGTTAGTTAACCAGCTCAGTCATGCTCAATCAGAACTTTTCACAGGATAAAGGATCTGAAGGTTGCCTTAAAGGTACTTCTTTTTCCTACAGATATATGAAGCTTTCTCTTTTCCCCATAAAAACAGCCTAATTTACACTACAACTGCAAATGAAAATCTTTTCATAGTAAACATGGATTCTACCAACAATGAACCTCTTTTTCAAAACAGGTATCATAGACTGCCAAGGTATAAAGCCTAAGGCAAAAGAAAGAGTAACTTTAATCGCAAACAATAGCTAGTTTCTGGCTGAAGTTCCTGACTCTACCACAAGGCCTCAGTTTCTCCATCTGTAAAACAAGGGATTATATTAAATTATCTAAAGTCCTTTCTTAGGCTAATATTCAATAATTCAATCATTTTAACCCCCTCCAAAAAAGGGGTTGTAGTTAATTAGCTACAAGTTTCACAAGTGAAGTGTCTTGAATGGCTTCACAGAATAGAAATACTGAACTTTGCTCCTGCCAGTTGAACTGGAAGGCTATTAGTCAAGTAGCACTAAAGTGAAAAAGATTACTGTGCAATACCTTAGAACAGAAAGAAACCAATGGAATCAACAGGAGTATGAGGTGAATATCTACCAATTGCTGCTAATATCACATTGACTGTGTGATCTGTGATTTCCATTACATAAACACTAAAAGTCAGACAGGCACAAAAAACACAAAGTCCAAGACAAAACAATCCCTGCTCATGAAGCTTACCTTCTATTGAAGGGATTCAACATGTACACTGATCAAAACTCATGAAGGGAAGGAGCCTGAAATAAGGCTGGAAACAACCTCTGGCTAGAGCCATACTGTGAAGAACTTTGAATGCCAGTCTGAGGAAGGCCTCTTCTACCAGAGACACAATGATGGAAGGGGCCACTGATGGTTTTAACAAGGGCAGTGCTTTGGGAAGATGATGTTGGCAGTTGTTTGGATGATGAATTGGAGGAAAGACTGGAAGCAGGGAGACCAATCAGGACACTATTACACTAGCCCAGGCAAGAGGTCATCAGGGTCTGAACTAGGCTGGTGGCCTTATGAGTGGAAAAGAGATACATGCAAGTGATGATGTGGAGATGAAATCCACAAAGGGGGTTTGAATGGAAGAAATCCAGTATATCTCAGAGGTTTTAAGTTATAAACATGGTGGGACTAATGTCATGGTGGTGCCCTCTAGAGAAAAAAGGAAGCCTGGAGAAAAAGTGGGTTGGTAAGTTTTCTTTTGAACAAAATAATACTACCTGACATTTATATAACACTTTCAAAGCTTAAAAAAGTTTACAAAGCACTGAATTCATATTATCTTACTTTGTGAGATAAATAGTACAGGTATTATCAACTCCCATGAGCCAATTTCCCCATCTGTTAAATGGTATAGGATATAGAGGGCTAGTTTTGAAACCAGGAAGACCTGGGTTCCAGTACTGTCTCTGACATGCTAACTAGCTGTGTGACCATGGGCAAGTCATTTAGCTTGTCATGCCCCAGGGAACTCTCAGGTTATAAATTACAGATGACTTGCTGATCTGCATCTATGGAAAGAGTTTCCATAATGGACCATAAATCACAGAAATGGACCAAAAAAATTGATGGGAGTAAATGACCTCATGATCACACAACTACCAAGCATCACAGGCAGAATATTTAGTCTCAGGTTTCTCCTAAAAACTCTTTTTATTATACCTCACTTTGACCAATTGAGCTTGATATGCCTATAGGATATATAGAAAATATTCCCTCAGCAAGTTGAAGAGGGGGAGGACAGTAGAGTTCAGAAGAAAAGTTAGGACTGCATAGTTCTGGGAATTTCTGAATCGAGAAGATACTTGAAGCCACCGAGCCTGGCCATCAAGGAGAGTATAGATAGCTTAGAAAAAATGTCACAGGACAGGGCCCTGGGGGATACCTAAGCCAAGAAGAGTAGAGTTGGATGATGATCCAGCAAAGGAGACTGAGAAATAACAGGCACATAGTAAAAAAGTAGTGTTATTAAAGTACCCACAACAAGAGAAAGAGTCAAAAGTCAAAAGATATAGATGGGACATGGGCCGAGAAAAGGTCAATCAAAAGTTACCCTGGAGAGAGCACTAGGGTAATTAAGAAGTCAGATTACAGTAGGATGGTGAAGAAATTGAGGTATGGAATGTGGAGGGTCCTTCCTAGCCTTTCCACAATTAAAGTTAAATATATGTGGACGTGTATTGTGTGTTCCAAAGTTTTAGTGCACTTTTAAGTGTTTGCACTTGTGTGCCTGATATCTGTCTCTTTCCCAGGACCTATCAGTGTACAGCAGCACTTTTGTTTGACCTGTGATTTCATTGGTACAGGGAACTCTGATGTGGAAAGAAACTCCCTCCAATGATGTTACTCTGTTACACACAGCCTTAGGAGTTGCTGGGGCACTGAGATGATAAGAGCCTTGCCCACGAGCTCATGAAGCTCCCTCCACAGATGCTGCTCTAATTTAAAGGCTTTCAGAGCTATGTGGGGCACTGAAAGATTAAGTGACTTGCCCTTGACCACACGGCAGTATGCCAGGAATGGAACATCGTTTTCCCAGTGTTTCTCTATTCACTATGCCAAGCTGCCCCTTCCCCTTCACAGAGCACTTATTAAGAGTTTGTTGCAATAACCGTTCACTTCCCTGAAGCTCCTCTTCTACAAAGAAGTTGAGGATGGAGCCCCTAGGGACATCAGGAGTGGAAGAAGCCAGACAGGGAATAAGTGGCCTTTACACAAATCGAGTGATTTTACGTAGTCTTGTCTGAACCGCACTGGAACACCGAGAAGTTGGTACTACAGATATTATCCCCGATTTACAGAGAGGAAAACTCAGGAAGGTGGGAAACTCAGTAAAGAGGCGGGAAACAGAGGAAGGAGGGGGAGGAAAATTGAGGAAGGACAGGGAAACTGAGAAAGGAGAAAAAAACTCGGGGAGCAGAGGGTCTCGAAGACAACGGAACAGCCATTTCGGTTTTTAAATCCCAACACGCCCCCGCCCACTTCCCAGCCACCTACCCCAGGGGACCCCGGGTCAGGCGGAGGGAAGGGGGTCAGGCGCAGCGCAGCAGGGGTGCGAGGCTCGAGAGGAGGGGCCAGCGCCAGTCTGCTCCCTTCCCTCCCATCCCCCAACCCGGGGGTCTCGCACCGCCGGGCCCCGCCCCCACCTTGTTGTTGTACTCCTCCACAAAACTGCCCAGCGCCAGGCGGAAGCGCTTGTCGGGCCGCACGCTCCAGTTCATGGCGTAGACCGTCCATGGTGCCTCGTACTTGTAGATCTCCTTCCGCTTTCCGTGCAGGGACATGGCGGCGGCAGCAGGGCCGCCCTCCGGGCCCGAAAAGCCGGAACGGAGGGCAGAGGCCGGGCCGGACCCAGCCGAGGGACTCGAGGGGGAGGTCTGGGGTGGGGGGCGGGGTAGGGATGGGGGTCAGGAGGTGGGACGGGAGGGAGGAGGGTGGGGTCAACAGGGACCGGTGGCGGGGGGGAGGGGGAGAGCCCCGCAGCGACAGACAACGGCTCTGGTGCCCGACCCCCAGTTTCAAACCTGAGGCACTGACAACAACCACCTTCCGTTTGGGACGCTCCTCCGCCCTCAAGGAGCGGAAACCACGCGACCCTGTAACAGCAGTAGCCGTTGGCGGTCTTACACGTCGTTTAGAACGGCCCTTTCCTTCTATTGGCTGTTAGTCCCATCGTTTCCGAGGTCCTTCTTTCCATTGGCTATGCTCTTTGTCATTCCACCGAGTCTCTCTCCGCCTCCTTGGAGGAGGGGAAACAGAATTTTCATAACCCTGAAAATCCGTTGGCTGGTCGGGATGTCAATCAAAGAGATCCCCGAGCCTTCCAGGCTGGGCTAAAGCGGGGGGTGGGGTCGGAGGTTGACGGACTAGCGTTCACGAGACATGCATGAGCTAGTGCCGTTTACATCTCGAGGTTCAAACCTTCTCAGAGACCTGTTCCCGGGAGAGAGGCCTTTCTCAGTGACTTACATGGACCTCTTCTGTCTCTTTCTACCAGCGGACTGCAGGTCCTGATATGGAGTTACTTAACAGTATACTACGTGAAACCCACACCTCCACTACTTTTGTCTCACGTACCCTGCCTCCTTCTGTTTTAGGGCACACGTCCCCTCCCCTCCCATCCCCCGCCACTGCACATCTGTTACCCTTTTTGCACAGTATTTCCCTACGCTCGAAGACATCCTATTTCCGTGAGCATGACAAGTCAACCTTGTCTGATCTAGAAAAGGTTGGAGAAGCTTTATTAGACCATGTCCATCATCTGAAAAATAAGGGATAGATGAAATAATTGGTATGGGAACTCTGCCCATCAAATGGTAATTACAAGCTATAAGTAATTTACAGTTTCAGAGAACTTAGGCCCAGGTAGGTCACCTAACTTGCCTATCTATGGTCATACAGCTAACAAGTATCAGATTCTAGGTCTCAGTTTCTTCATCTGTAAAATGGAGGGGAGAGGGGACTGGGGCCAGGGAACAGTGACAGAAATAAGTATCCATTTAGCACCTACTATGTGCCAGGCACTGTGCTTAGCACTTTACAGATATTGGGTCATTTTGTTGCAGTCTGAGAGGTTGAGACTCCTCAAAGACTGATGTACAGGACAGGGTCGTCTGGAATGAATTCACAGACTCAAGCATTCTTTAAGTCAAGGTGGCAAAGATTTATTGTTACGCTTTTCAGCGGGCAAGGATTCTTAAGGAACCTGCAAGAGACTGAGGATAGAGCTAGGGTTTATATGGGAAAGGAAATGCTAGGGACACTGATCAGGTAATCTAAAGGTGCAGGTGTCTTTGGGAGCTATGGATGGGAAAGTACAGGGAGTATTCCGGCCAGGGAGGGAGATGACAGAGGTATGGATCTTGGGAGTCTGGCAGGAGGAAGAGTCCTTGGGCCAGCCAAGGACAAAACTCCTTGGGCTGGGTAAGGCACCCCTCTGTCTTGATGAGAAAATGCTCTGCAACAAGGGAAAGCTTTCTCACAAGACAGGAACTTACTAAGGAATTGGGAGGCTTCCAGAGACATGATCTGAGGGCTGGGGCCTGAGCAGCCCAGCACTCTCTCACCCAGCTTTGTGTAGCTGCACCAGGGAGGGAGATAAGGGTCCTGCTGGGGCCCATGCATGAATAACTGCTAGGCACAGTGTCCTTGGGCTGGGGAGTGGTTGTCAGAGACAGTGTTTCTGAGACTAGGGAGAAATTGGGATCCAAGTACAAGCACAAACACCCAAGCACCCCATCAATTTGATCCGATCAACAACCCTGCAAGGTATGTTACCCCATTTTACAATTGAGGATACTGAGGCAAACAGGTAGATAACTTGCTCAGGATCACACAGCTAGTGTTTGGGACTTCATTCTAACTCAGTCCATCTTGACTCCCAGCCCAATCCACTTTGCCACCTAGCTTTTTTTGGGGGGAAGGGGGAGGGAGCAACCAGGCAGAGGAAGGGGAGGGGGCGGGCAAGATCAAGGTTTCTTTTTTTTTTTTTTTTAAGGAAATTGGCATTAAGTGACACAGGGTCACACAGCTAGTAAGTGTCAAGTGTTTGGTCTGAGGCCGGATTTGAACTCAAGTCCTCCTGACTTCAGGGCTGGTGCTCTACCCACCTTGCCAGCTAGCTGCCCCTAAGATCAAGGTTTCTTAATCTGGGACCAAGAACATTTTTTTTTGAGATTTTGATAAAAGTATTTAAATATAATTGGTTTACTTTGTAATCTTTTCTCTTTATGCGCTTAAAAGCATTTTTCTGAGAAGGAATCTATAGTCTTCACCAGGCTGCCAATGGTGCACAAAAAATATTAAAAACCCCATGGGCTAGAATTGTCTCCAAAGGCCTTTCTAGCTCTAAGTCTTGTGACCTATGACTTTTGGCTTTACCAAATGATTCATAGTTGGAGTCCCTTGGAAATGAGGACACCCTTTGTCCTGAATCTATTTATTTGACTAAGAGACTTGGGTGGGTTAAAATGGGAATTGACCCAGAGTGTTAGAAGCCAATGCTAGCAGAAGATGAGTTAAAAGAGAAGACAAGGTACTTCTGAAAGGATGTTCTTAACAGCACTTATTACCTGTGAGATTATGGGCAAGTTACTTACCCCTCCTTGAACCTGAGGTAATTCTCTGAGGCTGTAAGTTATTGAGAGCTTGTAATTGCCATTGATGGGAGGCTTCCTATACCAATGATTCGACCCTTTTTTTTTGTATGAAGATGAGACAGACTGGAATTGTGTGCACTTTCTTAATTTTAGTTGAAACACAATGATACAGAAATACTTTGCCTCCTTTCTTTTAAAATAAAGTTTTCATTATGAACTTGATAGCCATCAAACACGAACATTTCCATTTACAAATGACAAAAAAGGATTGCATTTGCCACTGAATCTACCATGTAAAGCTTGTCATTTTTAAATTATACATCGACTTTAGCATGGTAGTATGGGTCCCCCATACAACTACCCTTGTTGCATGGGTCCTCTTTTGAATTTTGTGCCATGTACTTTTTACATATTTCATTGAAGTTTTTCTTCCTTCCTTCCTATCCTTTTTATCTTCCTCCTTTCTTGCTTCAATATCCCCCCTCCAAAAAAAAAGCTATCCTTTGTAATAAATGAGTATAGCCACCAAAATAAATGAGTGCTATTAGTCCTGTCTGAAAATGTCTCATTTTGCACATATAGTCTATAATCTGTCTACCAAAAAATGGAATATGTGCTTCATTGTCAATTTTCTGGAACCACAATTGGCCCGTGCATTATCAGAGTTCTTAAGTCTTTTAAAATTATTGTTTTTACACTGTTATAATTATTTTTCAATTATTGACTATAAGAGCATAATAGCCAAACTAGGATTTTACTTTAAAACTTGAGTTTGTTTCTTTGCTAAACCTCAGCAAAAGCATAGCAAGACAATAGGCAAAATATCTAAAGTGTGACCTTTTCCGTTCTACCTGCACCTCTTTTCCCATTAGAAGTCACTCATGTGGGGGATGGGCAACTAGGTGGCAGCTAGGTGGTGCAGTGGGTGGAGCACTGGCACTGGAGTCAGGAGGACCTGAGTTCAAATCTGGCCTCAGACACATAACACTTAATTAGCTGTCACTTAACCCCAATTGCCCTCACCAAAAAAAAAAAGTCACTCATCTCTTCATATATCAAAAACCTTGGTCTCTTAGGTTTACATCAAAGTTCCTAGGTACACAATTTATTAACAGGATGATAAATAATAACATGAATATAAAATGATTATTTACAATATCTTAGCTCTTAAAAAGATAGCAGTCAGTCACCTCTAACAGCTCTTTCAGCAGAAGCTCTTGCTTCATACCTTGTGAATAAATTTGGGTCTACTTCTCTGCATTGTCCCTTGACATCATACCCTCTCTATCTCCTCCTTTATTCTTGTCTCTGATAATTAGGCAGTTCTTCTTTTCACCCATGCCAACCTTGATCCTATCCCTTCCAGTCTTCTGCAACAAATTGTCCCCATTATCATCCCCTCCCTCTCTAATCTTTCATTTATCCCTTCCAGTAACAATTGGTTACATCCCTGCTGCTGATATTCCTGTGGTATCCTCTTTCTTGAAAAACTCTCACTAAACCCTACCATTCCCTTAAGCAATCATCATCCTTTATCTCTCCTCCCTTCCCAGCCAAACTCTTTGAAAAAGTAGTCTGCATACTCTCTCCATTTTCTCTTCTCTCAATCACTGGTCAACTTTTGCAGATTAGTTTCCTACTTCATCATTCAACTGAAATTGTTCTCTCCAAAGTTACCAACGATCTTAATTGCCAAATCCAATCCTTATTCTTTGTGCCCTTTTCTACAGCATTGACTTTATAGGACCATCCTTTCTTCCTGGACATTCTCTCCTCTCCGAGTTTCTGTGACATTTTTTTTTTTTTGTTTTTTTGTTATCCTCTTACCTACCTGACATGAAAGGGTCCCGCTTTTTCAATAGCCTCTTCTAGAGCATGATTTATGTCATGCCCTCTAACTCTGGAGATAACCCACATAACTGTCCTGGACCCTCTTTTCTTTTTTTTCTCTAATCTTTAAAAAAATTTAATTTATGGAATAAGACAAGCGTTTTTATAACAGTATAATAAAAAAAAGATTGCACATGAAACTGCAAATCTATTATGTGCAACTTGCTATTCCTTTTAAATATAATAAACTTATGTAAATTTCTTTTTCTTTATACTTTTTTACTTGGTGACCTCATCTACTCCCATGGATCTAATGTTTTTAGATAAATTTTTATTGATATCTTTTGTTTTCATATTATCTACATTTCTCACTGTGTCCCTCCACTCCTCATACCCTCAACATCTGGTTGGTGAGAGCCATCTCCTATAATAAAGA